TGCACATCTGGGGGGCGATGGGCAGGGTGAGCGGGAGAAGGGGCCTCACATCTGGATGCACAGCAGCAGGTGAAACAGGCCTTTGCACATCTGGGGGGGCGAATGAATCCCAGAGGAGGTTCACATCTGAGGGCTCTTGGGGGCACAGCTGGGGGGGGCTTTTTAATGCACATCTGGGACACCAAGGATCTCCGGGATGTTCACATCTGGGAGGATTGGGCGGTCGGGGGATGCGTACACATTGAGGCAAACATCTGGACGGCTCGGGTCACAGCTGGAGGGGTCCCTGGGGTCACAGCTGGGTACACATCTGACGGCACAGGGATGCCGGAGCACACCTGGAGAGCCGGGTGGTTTGCATTTGTGCACATCTGGAGGCACAAGCAGGGGGTAGGCAAGCTCACATCTGGGCACACATCTGGAGAGCTTGCACGAGCATGCTCTCCCCCATCCCCAGAGCTGTGCTGGGGCCACAGGCAGGCACACATCTGGCCCCCTGCCTGCATCTGGGGTGGCTCAGCCTCACCAGCATCCTCCGGGCTCTCCCATCTCCCACCAAATCCATCAGATCCCGGTGCTGCCAGCGATGGCAAAGCTCCTACCCGGGCATCGGGGCGGGGGGGGCGATGCATTATTCATCCATCCCTCTCGTAGCCAGGCACGGAGAAAATAAATAAATATTAATTTAATAGGACCACAAAGCTTTTCCGTTTCTCCTGCTGGGGATGCGGCAGCCTGAGGATTTCCCGGCAGGATCAAAAAAAAAGGAGAAATAAATTATCCACAGAATAACAGGTTTACCCAACTATTATCCAAATAATTCTCCAAGGTGGGAATTGAAGGTGATGCTGGAATATTAAATGCTGTGGTATTCCCCCTCCCCCTTTTTGGGTGTCCCCAAAAAAGCCGAGCCTTGGGGATGGGGCATCTCCAACCTGGGAATAGGGGATGGAAAGGGATGTTAATCCCTGGAGAGATTTTGGGCCTCTTTTCACGGAGTGCTTGGAAGAGAGGAGAGTTTTCAATGGGAATCCTGGACTTTTTTTTCGGAGCCCCAGGGATTAAAACACCCCTGTATTAATCCCTCTATGAGGCCTGAGGCTGCAGCAATGGGCTCCCGGGGCTGGCACGCGTGCATCCATTGCTGATACCTCCTCCAAGATGGCTTGGGATGGGGAAAGTAGACAAAGGAGCTGCCTCATCCCGACGGATAATCCCCCCCCTCCCGCCCCGATTCATCCCCGTTAATCAGCTAGGCAAACAGCGAGCGCAGGGGCATCGCCTCCTTGTTAGCAGATTTATTACCGCTGCCGGGGCGTTTAATTGCCCTTTTATTCGGCGATTAGTTGATGTTTGCGCAGGCTTTGCCCAAACCTCTCGCTGCCATGGCCCAAAATCACCTCCCGAATTTTTTTGGCTGGGGGGAGGCTTCCCCCATACTTTGTTATCCTCATTATTCCTCCTTATTTTCGCTGCCTCTTTATCTTTCCCACCCCTCCATGGCATCACCGGGCAGCATCAGGGTGGGGAAACTGAGGCATGAAGGACTTGGCAGTAATGACGAGCAACAAGATATTTGTATGGGCAAATGAGCGGCTGGGACCCCCCCGCACCGATGCCGGGGGGGGGGTAAATCCCCCACAGCCCCATTATTAACATACCCCCCGGGAGCCCCCCACCCCGAGCTGGGCGGTTTGCTGGAAAATGCGGCTTTTTGAATATTTATAGAGGTTGTGGTGAGGCACATGGGGCGG